TATGGGATTAAGATCTGGAGACTGGCTAGGCCACTCCAGGACCTTAATGTGCTTCTTCTTGAGCCACTCCTTTGTTGCCTTGGCCGTGTGTTTTGGGTCATTGTCATGCTGGAATACCCATCCACGACCCATTTTCAATGCCCTGGTTGAGGGAAGGAGGTTCTCACCCAAGATTTGACGGTACATGGCCCCGTCCATCGTCCCTTTGATGCGGTGAAGTTGTCCTGTCCCCTTAGCAGAAAAACACCCCCAAAGCATAATGTTTCCACCTCCATGTTTGACAGTGGGGATGGTGTTCTTAGGGTCAAAGGCAGCATTCCTCCTCCTCCAAACACGGCGAGTTGAGTTGATGCCAAAGAGCTCGATTTTGGTCTCATCTGACCACAACACTTTCACCCAGTTCTCCTCTGAATCATTCAGATGTTCATTGGCAAACTTCAGATGGGCATGTATATGTGCTTTCTTGAGCAGGGGGACCTTGCGGGCGCTGCAGGATTTCAGTCCTTCACGGCGTAGTGTGTTACCAATTGTTTTCTTGGTGACTATGGTCCCAGCTGCCTTGAGATCATTGACAAGATCCTCCCGTGTAGTTCTGGGCTGATTCCTCATCGTTCTCATGATCATTGCAACTCCACGAGGTGAGATCTTGCATGGAGCCCCAGGCCGAGGGAGATTGACAGTACTTTTGTGTTTCTTCCATTTGCAAATAATCACACCAACTGTTGTCACCTTCTCACCAAGCTGCTTGGTGATGGTCTTGTAGCCCATTCCAGCCTTGTGTAGGTCTACAATCTTGTCCCTGAAATCCTTGGAGAGCTCTTTGGTCTTGGCCATGGTGGAGAGTTTGGAATCTGATTGATTGATTGCTTCTGTGGACAGGTGTCTTTTATACAGGTAACGAGCTGAGATTAGGAGCACACCCTTAAAGGGAGTGCTACTAATCTCAGCTTGTTACCTGTATAAAAGACACCTGGGAGCCAGAAATCTTTCTGATTGAGAGGGGGTCAAATACTTATTTCCCTCATTAAAATGCAAATCAATTTATAACATTTTTGACATGCGTTTTTCTGGATTTTTTTGTTGTTATTCTGTCTCTCACTGTTCAAATAAACCTACCATTAAAATTATAGACTGATCATTTCTTTGTCAGTGGGAAAACGTACAAAATCAGCAGGGGATCAAATACTTTTTTCCCTCACTGTATTAAGGATCCCTATTAGCTGCTGCCAAGGCAGTACATCATATAACATTATTATACCACTACATATCTAAAATACAAAATGTTTAATACCACCACACCACCATGGTATATAACATCGTAACACAATAATTAAAGTAATTTTAGTATTTTCTCAAGTCTAGCAACCTTGCCAGCAGGCATGCCAGCTAAGATAGACAACTTACTCTAACTTGATTGATGGCCTGAAATGGCTTGGTAGCTAGTTATGAGGTTGGGAGATTGGGAACCTATCTAGCTGGCTAGCTAAAGCCAACTTCATAAAATTGCTAGGTGGCTAGTATTACAGAGAAACAACAAAACATTTGCATTTTATTTATTCATCAAGAAGGAATCAATAGGCTACATAGCTTGATCAAATTAAAATACAAAAACACAAATAACATTAAAGAGGCTATATACAAGGAGTACCGGTACTGAGTCAATGTGCAGGGGTACAAGATAGTTGAGGTAATTCAGGTAATATGTACACGTAGGTAGGGGTGAAAGTGACTAGGTAATCAGGTTAGATAATAAACAGAGTAGCAGCAGCGTATGTGAAGAGTGTGAAAGAGTGTGAAAGTATGTAGTGTGTGTGTGTGTGTGTGTGTTGGTGAGTCAGTGTAGTATGTGTGAGTGTGTAGGTAGAGTCCAGTGAAAGGAACCACTTACTAGGGAGAATAGGAGGGGGTACTCTTTGCCTGGTTCAGTCATTGTGCCCCCTCCAAAAAATACAGCTGACATATGTTTAAAAATAATTATGATAATACGTGGGCTTAAATATGAAGTTTAGTAATTCATTTCATTATTTTAACTGACAAATCTGAGGGGGCATGTGCCCTTGTGTCCCCTATTGGCATGACACCTCTGCCTACAGTCACGCCATGACAACCTATAGTATCTGCCTTGTTCAACAGTCAACTATGTAAATCGTTGTCACATATAGCTACCCAGTGGTTGCCATGGTTCCCAGATCCATGTGATAATAGGCTTAGGGGATCTGAATCTTTGGTTCCTTGATGATGATGATGGGAGACCCATGGGTAGTCTCTTTATATGGTATAAATCTATGCATTGATGGTTAGTTTTACAAAAAAAAAATCGAACTCATCAGTGCTGTTTACATCAATGTCCTGTGAACGATTATCCACCTTGCATCATTGTATGATCTACTGTATCACTGATCTATGTGGTGACGCATTCGATGCCAGAAGTGTTGTTCTAACTCTTTTGCTATCTCTATAGGATCCATCACTCAGGGTTTGTGATGCTCAAACAAGATGGTTCCTCAGTATTTTACACTCTTTGAGATTGATCTAGCACAAGCTGCTCATTCATTTGTTTTGTGTTTGATTGATTGAGTGGTTGATGTTTTAATGTCGATGTTCAGGTTTTGAAGTGTTAATGTTATTCCTTGGAGAGGAGAGCGGTGGTTGGTGGTTGTCAGGTTGCTATCTAACAATCTGTATACCAGAAAAGAGAAGAGGTGATCATAGGGATTCCCCCATCCACAATTCCCCTGTAACCTACAGTCGTTTAGCTGTTAGATGTTAAGTTAGTTTGAAGTCATAATGCTTTGTAATTCGTCATAGACAGCATATTTTCGGCACAGGAAATAGAGTCACCATTGTCATTTTCTGAACCATCAGAGTAAGTGAAAATATTGCCTTATAGGACTGGTTTCTATATATTTATTTAGCTAGGCAACTAATGACCACACCAATGGTTTGAGATACATTTTGAGCAATGTTGATGGAAGGATTATTTCTAAATGCCAGGCTCTGAATTCATTATGCTGTTTCCCCAATGAAAGTCCCAAAGGTATTCCGAAGAGGTGCTGAGTCTGACATTATAACATTTCCTAATATCAGAACATTTGTTAATTTCCATCACATTCCCATTGGATTTGGATTGTGTCTTGTACTGTCAATGCTTGGTTACAAGTGCTTGGGAATAACACCATATATACATAAGGAGTCAGATAATTTCACAACCAACAAGCAACTTGCAAGTGACAAATTTAGACCTCCTCGCTAAGGTTGCCTAGCAACACAAAGGGTTTGTTTCCGATACAGCTGTTCCCGCGAAAGCAAGGGTTAAAATCCCATCTCTCACAGCTCAGCCCGCTCTCATTGAACATTGATTTACAGTATGCATTTCTCATTTGGGTGTTTGACAGTCATATATTGGAAATGTGCCTGTCCTGTCATCTATGGCAATATCATTAACTTGGGTTATTATTGAAGTAGTTTTAGTTAATGCAGCGCTTACTCTAGTTGATATAACTAGCAGTGCTAATGATAGTAATCATAGTTGATGTGGTTTAGTTGAATTCTCCCCATCCATAATGATTATAATAATGGACACATTCTTGCTGCTTCAAGTCAAGCATAATATCCTGTGCTGCTTGTCTCTGTGCTGTGAACCTGGGTGAAGCTGAGAGAGAGAGTGTGTCTGTGAGAGAGAGAGGGAGAGAGAGAGAGAGAGAGAGAGAGAGAGAGAGTGTGTCTGTGAGAGAGACAGAGAGAGAGAGTGTCTGTGTGTGAGAGAGAGAGGATAGAGAGAGGGAGAGAGAGGTAGAGAGAGAGAGAGCGAGAGAGATAGAGAGAGATAAGAGATAGAGATAGGAGAGTGGTGTCTGTGAGTGATACAGAGAGCGAGGTTGTCCTGTGTGTGAGAGAGAGAGAGGCGAGAAGAGAGAGAGAGAGAGCGAGAGCTGAGAGAGAGAGAGAGAGAGAGAGATGAGAGATAGACAGCGAGAGTCTGTGTGTGAGAGAGACAGAGAGGAGAGGGAGATGGAGAGAGAGAGAGAGAGAGGGATAGAGAGAGGTCTGTGGAAGACGAGCAGCAGTAGAGAGAGAGATAGATGTGTCTTGTGTGAAGAGAGATAGAGTGAGAGCGGAGAGAAGAGGAGAGAGAGGATAAGCGATTGTCTTTTTTGTAGAGAGGAATCGGGATAGAGAGAGAGTATAGTAAGAGCTGTGAGAGAGAGAGAGAGTAGTGTCTGTGTAAAGAGAGTGTCTGTGTGGTGTGAGAGAGAGAGAGGAGAGGTCTGTGAGAGGAGAGAGAGAGTCCCTGTGAGAGAGAGAGAGAAGAGTGGAGTGTCTGTAAGATAGACAGAGAGAGATTGTCTGGTGTGTGAGAGAGAGAGAGAGGGAGAGATAGAGAGAGAGAGAGAGAGAGAGAGACGAGAGAGAGAGAGAGAGAGAGAAGATACGAGAGAGAAGAGGAGAGATTGGAGTTGTCTGTGAGAGAGAGATGTTCCTTGTGTGATGAGGGAGAGAGGGAGAGAGGCGAGAGAGAGAAGAGAGAGTGTCTGTGAGAGAGACAGAGAGAGAGAGTGTCTGTGTGTGAGGGAGAGAGGGAGAGAGAGAGAGAGAGAGAGAGAGAGAGAGAGAGAGAGAGAGAGAGAGAGAAGTGGTGGTCTGAGAGAGAGAGAGAGAGAGAGAGAGTGAGTGTCTGTGAGAGAGACAGAGAGAGAGAGTGTCTGTGTGAGAGAGAGAGAGGGAGAGAGGGAGAGAGAAAGGGATATGTGTGTGGCTGGTGCGTTGTTCACTCATCCTCATAGTCAGTGACAAGCGGAATCATGTGGGGTGGGCTCTCTCTGTCACCAGTGTGCCTGCCTGCCTGCCTGCCTGCCCAGCCGATCTCTCTCCCTCCCATTGTGACTCGCTATACCACTGGAACTACTCGCTGCTGCTTTTTCACTCTACAAAACTCGGATACATTTCATATTCACTCCACATTTCCAATACATAATTAAACAATAAGGAAAAGGGGGAAAATGAAGTCTTTTCTGAATGCCTTGAAGAAAGAAGGTAAGCTGTTGTGGTTGATTTGGAGGATTTTTGTAAGGGCTTTGATGGCTTTTAATGTTTTGAGTGGTGATTAAAAGTTTGTGTGGAATACAGAAGCTGAGAGAATGAGTTCTATACTGTACATCGTGTTATGCCTTTTAATTGATATGGTAGTTCTATCTTGACAAAAAGCAGCATGCAGTTTAATAACGGTTCATTAACTAAAGCAATTGTTGAATCACTATTAGTTACTGTTGTATAACTTGTTTTGTTTGTATAAATATTGATGGTTGCTTTCATAACCACTTCTCAAGAGGATGTTAACTATTTTGGCCCACAGTTTTCAAAGAACAGCCTGGGAAAGTAATATCTGTTTACAGGATATACTGTAGAGCTCAACCTAGGTTGTTAGTACCTTAGGTTGATTTGACGAATAATGATCAATGTCAACAACTCACAATATCTGACTCTACGAAGTAAACTAACTTTTTGCGACAGGTGAATTGTAAATTGTCTGACAGTTTTTGCAGAAGAGATAGAGCTATATTGAACTGTCATACAGACACACAGAGAACGCATTTGTTATGATATGTCACTTTATTAAGCAGATCCAAGCATATCACCATAACTTTATTAGCTTTGCCTCTTCCGTTGATGATAGGCCATTCAGATATCACCGTTATTGGGAGAGAGGTGAAGAGGGGGTGGGATCTGTCTTGTTCAGGCAGTGGGGGGTTGGGCATCTTACCTTTCCTCTCTTTGTGCCTCATGGGCGTACACTTTATTGTATATATTTTCACAGAGTTTTGGAGGTTCACTGGCACTGCTTTACATTGTGCAATCAGGATTTGAATCTTCCTCAGGGGGAATGCATAGCCTTTTTGTCAAATGTATTTTGGAAATGTTTTAAATAGATTACCCTTTTCCTATGACAGTGTACTGTGATTTTGGCTGTCTTCCCTCTCACAAAGTGGCCTATCTTTGCTGGGTTAAATCATGTGGATGCTGTATATAAGCCTCCTCTTCCTCCTGGTATTTAGTAGGCAGCGGAGAAATAAACATCATCATTAATCATGCTTCAGCTGTGTGCACAGTGTGCTGCTTCAAACACAGGGGAATTCTACCAAGGCTCCTAATATAGCTGGAGTTGAATAGAGTCCTCTCCACAGCCAGCCTGTTCTGAGCCGGTGAGCCCAGCAAGTTTGGAGCTCTCCTTGCATTTTCACTGAGCCTCAAGATGCTTAATGCCTCAAGGTTGTTAATTGAAAAATGAGTGTGTGTGTGTGTGTGTTGAGTATTCTGCTAACTGACCTGCTTCTATTTGAGTTTCAGAGGAACAATGAAGAATGTGACGTAATACTCTACCATGATGAAACTTGGTCTAATTTCCTGGTCAATTTCTTCTCCTTTTCCCTTCTTCTCCCTCCCCCCTCCTCCTCCCCCCTTCATTCCTTCCTTCCCTTTCCTTCTTCCAGTCCTTCCTTCCTCTCCCCTTCACCCCACCTCTCCCCTCCTCTCTCCTCTCTCTCTCTCTCTCTCTCTCTTCACTCCCTCCCCTCCTCCCTCCCTCCCTCCCTCCCTGCCTCTAGTGCCTTTCCGTGAGGCGTCGGCCCAACCCACCCGGCGCAAGCAGGCCCCACGGAGCACCCTCGCTGCACCACGGCCGGCGCTCTTGCGCTCCAACAGTGACAACAACCTGAACGTGAACAACCGGTCACCCCTGCCATCCCCGAGCCACTCTCCCCTGCGTACCCTCTCCCCCCGTCGGCCACAGCAGCAGCAGATGCCCAGCCCCAATGGAACAGTCAGGACCATGGGGAAGGGGGCTCCCCGCCCTCCCCGCTCGCCTTCTCTGGGGCGCCTGGGGGAGGAAGCACGGAGACAGACCTCTCAGCGACAGCCCAGGTCAGTCACCAACCAGGGTTTGAATTATACATTGACTCTTGAGGGCTCCCAACTTCTTTTGCAGGTGCCCAAAGTTAAATCGTGGATTTATTTAGGGGGGGGGGCCCAGCCCATAATGATATCTCAATTCTTATGGGTGGGCCCTGATTTGTTATGGGGCTGCCCAACCCTACTAGACCTCCTTTTAGTTAAACCATGTCACCAACTTTAGGGTGCGACCGCTATAGGGTGTAACTTTCCAATTAGTGCCTTTGGTAGTTTACAGGACCTCTACAAACAGAGTGCGAAGGATTTTGGCCCAGAAAATCTGTCCCAATGAGTCCCTTGTGTTCATGACAGCTTGGGGAATAGAGATGGTAGATGTGTCGCACTCACTGCAGGTCTGATCAGTCTCTCTCATGAGAGTGTGGATGTTTGTTTATGGATGTGTGTGGATGTTGGCCCCAAAAACAGTCCCTGGTGTTCACAGCATCTTGGGGAGTAGAGATTCTAGATGTGCTCCACCGTCGGTCCAATCCGTCTCTCTTATGAAAGTGTGGATGTTGGAGTGGATGTTTGTGTTGTAGACAGGGGAGGGAAGGGTTTGTTGTGTTGGGATGAGTGAGGCCCTGGTCAAAAGTAGTACACTATATAGGGAATAGGGTGAGAGGAATTACAGGCAGACAGAGGAGAGGCTTGGCAGGACAGCTGTCCCACTGCGCCTTGGTTTATGTGCATGGATTCCCAAAGCCAATCGGGATAACTCTTCATGAACAATACCCCAGTCCTACTTCAGCAAACTGCTTTCTGTTGGTTTACCCCACACCACCCTCCTACTTCACATCTGTCATTGTCACCGTGATATACAACCAGATTTGAGTAGAGATCATTTTTGGTCCATGTTAATAACCGTGTGTGTGTGTGTGTGTGAGTGAGTGAGTGAGTGAGTGAGTGAATCTCTTCACCTAGCAGGGGGTCTATGGAGAGCAGAGCAGGCTCAGTAAGTGGGCCATGCCAATTACTCACTGCTCACATAAAGGGAAAAAGGAAATGAATCTAAATTGAATCTAAAAATGACATGTCACATGATAAGTGATCCTATGGAAATGTGACCTTTTTCTCCCCTTTGCTAACCCGTGTTCAGCCCGTGTTCAGCCCGTGTTCAGCCCGTGTTCAGCCCGAGTTCAGCCCGTGTTCAGGATGCATAATGAGTTGTTGTGATTGCTCTCACTCGGCCTGCTCTCAGCCAGGTCAGCAGGCTTACTGGTGTATGAATACATTATACTGGCACCGTTACTGGAGTAGAGCAGTTAAAATGGGACACCGTTAGTTCCTCCCTAGTTACAGGAGTGGTTGCTATGGCCATTACTGCCATATGGTGCATATGGGTTTTAGCAGCTAACTAGCCTACTCCACGGTGTGTTAGATAATATCCTCAAACTGCAGACCAAAGCAAAGCGCTAACAGCTATAGTGTATTTCGGATGTGATCTGATAATTGCTGGTTGCTATTACAGTACTGTTGTCTGTGTGGACAAAGACGATTCAGAGGCCAATAGAAAATAAATGATTATACTGTATTTAGTTCTAAGGCGTAGACAGTGCTTGTGCTAAATAACTTTTTAGGGTTAAAGCCTGCTATTGTAGCTGTATTAGGTAATTCACCTACACTATTGCTTTTGATGTACTTGGTAGTAGACCCTCTCTCTAGGTTTACATACTGTACTGTACCTAAAAGAACAGCAATCAGACACAGTTCACACATATAGACCATTCCTTCTATTGTTTTTGCTTTTTTCATCTTAGCAGACGCTTTTATCCAGAGTGACTTACAGTAGTGAGCGCATACATTTTTCATACTGGTCCTCTGTGGGAATCGAACCCACAACCCTGGCGTTGCAAGTGCCGCGCTCTACCAACTGAGCCACGCGGGGCTTGTTTGGCTGTTAGTGTCCTTGAAAAGCTGATATATCCTGACATGATACCTTTAAAGAAGCAATTATTTACCAAGACAGTGAGTGTTACATGAACACTCATCTGTTTTTGCCTCAGCATAGCAGTAGATCAAAAATAGACACATTGTGACAATACTCAGACACAACCATTGGCTGATGCTGCTGTTAGAGGACCTATTTCCTTCCTGTTCTTGTTTTGCATAAATACCTCAACCCACGACTGCCTCTTCCAAATTTAACATCCTTATGTAATCACTGTCTTTGGTTCAGGGTATGAGGGGTGGGTTTGTGCACGGCCCCGTCCCAAATGGCACCCTGTTCCCTACACAGTGCACTACTTTTGACCAGAATAGGATGCCATTTGGAACATAGCCGGGTGGGTTTGAGCATGTCGCCAACCAGGGTTGGTTGCTGGTAAACAAGGACTTGCTCTTTGTAGTTTGTAGAGGCGGGTAGCTGGTAGCCAGGACTGTTCTCCAAATGGCACCCTATTCCCTACATAGTGCACTACATTTGACCAGAGCCCTATGGGCCTTGGGTCAAAAATTGTGCACTATATAGGGATTGGAATAGGGTGCCATTTGGAATCAGATGATGTCATCAACAAGGGTTGAAGGATAAAAAGGGTAAAAAGGGTAAAAAAGGACGTGCTCTTTTGTAGTTTGTACGGATGGTTATCTAGCTGGTAGCTGGTAGCTTGTGTCCTATAAACCTCGCACTGGATTATTTATACCATCAGCATTTTGTTAAATGATCTATTATTCATCCCGTTCATAAGTTTCTCTTACGTCTCATACCTTCCATAGCACATTTTCACAGTACGATACCCTTGTGTTGCAGCAATGTTAGCCCCGCTTCCATGCTTCCTATTTGGGAGTACGGCAACGAGAGAGTGTCCCGTTACTATTTAATGACCGCCACAACCCTACACGAGACTATAGCTATGTAGACCCTAATGTACCTAGACCTGTCTGTTAGCCTAACCTTATCTCCATAGTCTTTCCATCATGCAGCAATCCGGTGCCATTTTCATAATGGTTTTTCCACACATTTTGGTTGCATCACACTGCTAAGTTTGATGCCAAGTATTCTAGCAGATCCCCCAGCCTCTCTTTTTTCACAGTATTGTGTCGACCCCAACAAAACTGTGCTGGCTCCAGCACATTTCCAGCAACTATGGTGGATGGGTAACCAAGCTAGCTCAAGACAGCTTGGCTCGGCTCGGCTCGGCACAGTAGTGTGTGTAGAGCCACTATAGCATCTGGAGGATCTGATGTGACAGCTTGACTGTTGAACAGGTAGTGAGCTGCTGTCAGTCACACTGATCTGCCATCTCCACACACACACACACTACCATGGCTACTAAGTGTAAAGTCATGACTAAAAGGTCAACATTGGTTTGACTGCTGTCATTTACAAAGGTCACATTTATATGATTTTGACCTACCAGTGAATGGCAGTGACGTTAGGCCTATGCATTTATAGGCTATAAAGTGTGTAGCATCTATAGTAAGTCAAAAAAAAATATCAATCTCAAATTGTGTTGCTGTAGTTACACAAAAAAAGGTTATGTAACGTGAATGTCAGTATTGTTGGTGAGACTCTATAGTCCTTTACACACTGCATTATATGTGATGCCTGGGAGCGTAGAATGCAGTGTGCGGACTCTGCAGTCTCTTTCCAACTTTTATTGATAATTTGTTATAGCCAGCACCTGCCAGACACAATGGATGTGTATGTCATGTTTTCCCTTATAACGCTTCACACTCGCAGTCACTCTTAGAAAAAAAAGTTGTTATGTAGAACCTAAAAGGGTTCTTCGGCTGTCACCGTAGGAGAACCCCTTTGAATAACTATTTTTGGTTCCAGGTAAAAGCTTTTTGGGTTCCATGTAGAACCCTTTTCACACAGGGTTCTACATGGAACCGAAAAGAGTTCTACATGGAACCCAAAAGGGTTCTACCTGGAACCAAAAAGGGTTCTACCTGGAACCAAAAAGGGTGCTCCTATGGAGACAGCTGAAAAACCCTTTTGGAACCCTTTTTTCTAAGAGTGTACCTACAGTAAAGGAGAGGAGGCTATGCTATGCTAGCCTATCCAGTTGGCACGAGGGATGCCTTTGGTGACTTAGACAGAAATAGTGATTCACATAGTATGCTATCTAATCTCGGTTAACCCAGAACTAAAATCTTGCGGAATTTGGTTGGATGCTCGATTAAACCATTTATGTTTACGCAGTCTGTACACAAGATATTATAGGCTATAGTCCCTACCTACAGTAAAGCAGAGGACGCTATGTTAGGTACCTACAGTGATGCTATGCTAGGTAGTTAGCATGAGGGATGCCTTTGGTTGTGACTTTGACAGAGTCTCTATAGAGTCTTAATGAGGCAGCAGCCACTGAGGGCATGTGGAGCTGGAACTCTCCTCTGGCCCACTTTCTCTCTCTCTCTATGCCGCTCTGCTAGCCTCTTTCAGTGTGTGTGTCTCTCTGTGTGTGTGTATGAAAAAGTATGAAAGTATGAAAAATGTATGCACTTACTAAATGTAAGTCGCTCTGGATAAGAGCGTCTGCTAAATACTGTATGCAAAATGTAAAATGTGTGTGTGTGTGTGTCAGTCACGCTGTCTACCTGGGCTAGCAGGGGGAGCAGCGAGGTGGGTAGGCTCTCATCCCCCAAGCCGAGCACAGGAAGTGAACTTACCAGGACGTCACATGTCACTGCTCTGCTGCTGCCTTGGTTGTCAGTCGTTTACAGTACACCATCTCCATCTGAGTACAGCATGGCATCTGTGGAGCTTCAAAATGTGTTGTCATTTTCGGTGTAGATCTTGTTGTATTACACTGTGTTCATATCAGTGACATTGACAGAATATGACCCTTTTTAAGTCTAAACAAAGTCCACAAAGTATTTTCTATGCAAATTAGCTTTGCTGTACAGGGCTCTTGTGCTAAATACACAAGATAATCTCAATTTGGGGCCCTTAACCTCATAATGTAGTGCAGAAGACATTGTAATGATTCCATCTACTTCCTCTTCCCCTGTGTCATTTCTCTCTTATAAAGCAGATAAAGGTCAAGAGCTCTGTGGATAACAGTTGTGATTGGTTTCCCTGTTCTCCTCATTGTGTTGTAGGATAGATGATGTGTGTAGAGAGTAGGTCTGGACCACAGGCTGGGATAGGAGTGGTAATAAGCCCCTGTGGAGGAACACAGACACTGTACAGCAACTCCAAACAACCTAATGGATAGAGAGAGTGCGCTGCTTTAATTAGCTAGAAGGAGCATTCGTATTAAACAGAGGAGAGCCTCGTCACTGCCTCAGGCTTCATTATAAAGCTATGTCCAAGGGATTGTAAACCTGTACGAGTGGATCATCATAGTAATTATACTGTCCAAGCACTATCCAATAATTTTATAAATTATACTGGTGTTCTGGGATTTGTAAACATATAGGCAGTATTGGTAAATAAAAATGTAATGTCTCCCAATTGCTACATATTTCACTTCTCCATGCTACCGAATGTCAGACTTTTGAGTGGGAAATGGAAAATATCAACATCAAATTGAAGATCAACACGGAGTTATTCCTTTCATTAGTGTGGTTGATGATCCAGTTCCAGCTATGACCTCATATTGTAGGCCACCAGTTTTACAGCAGTCCAACAGAGGGGGCCATTGTACAACCTTTCATTCCTGTCAGTGAATATCCTCAACTACTGTGATGTGCTGCTCACTGAGTAGAGTAGAGTTCACTAAATACTAGGATGTGACGAACATGGAATTTTGATGACGGTTATTGGTCACCGTTATAATAAAATAAAAATAATACAATACAAAATAAATCAAATAATTCTCCCCTCCTCCGCTCCTGACTGGACTCAACCACACGTGACATCTGTTTGAATGCCCGGGCTTCTGTCTTCAGTCAGCTGTTATATGTAAACCAAGCTTTCTTTTACGTTTGTCGACTTGAAAATGAAGTTGATGATAATTTTTGTACATTATTATTTTTATTATTAAAACGCATATGACAGTTATTTTATTTTCATGACGGTCTTCATCCATAATCGGCGATTACACGGTTGTACAATAATCATCACAGCCCTACTAAAAACATACCCATATCATTTCATTGTTATCTGAAAAGATATACCTTACATGCACTTTTATCACTTCCCTATCCTCTACCCTGAATATCTCCACACTATAATGTTTCAAGGGGTCACAGGCTGGTAAAGTGTGCTTTATACCAAAAGACTTTGCTCCATTTAATAAAATCACTCTATGTGACCGCAAAAAAAGTATGTTTCTATTTTTGTGACAACAGACTAACCTTCCCCTAACCTCAGTCTCTGTTCCTCTCCTCTCCCCCTCCAGCCCAAACAGGGGTCGGGAAGCTTTCTCTGGTGGCATAGACAGCCAGGGGCCCAAGCGTAAGCTGTACAGTGCTGTGCCAGGGAAGCACTATGTGGTGACCCAGTCCTATCAACCACAGGCCGAAGGGGAGATCCCCCTGTACAAGAATGACAAGGTCAAAGGTAAACATCCTGGTTTCTCTACGCTGTATCCCAGAGCGAAGCAGTGTTTGAATTGGGACACATTTTCTACTGCTTGAGTACTGGGAGTTCTTATAGTATAAATACAGTATGAACACCGGGACTGTAAAATTGTAATTAGTTCCGGCACCTTTTTCATTCCACTTTAAACACTGGGGGAAGAGATATTAGAGGCAACCACTCAGAAGGATGTCAATAAGAGGTCAATCAGTAATCTGCTAAGATTTAGTAAAATGTTTTTTCCAACTAAGTAAACAGTTAAAAGCAAGATATTTATGCAAAAGACTGCAGTGCACATTTTATTTACTATAGTTATTTACTCTCACTTCTAATCTAGTTATTTCTAACTTCAGTAGTAGCTTTATCTCTTAGGAAAAATTACTATTTCATTTACGGATGTGTTTTTCCTCAGTACTTAGAGTTTTAATATTCAACTGTGCCTTTTCAAAGGTTACATAATATTTACCTGTCAAGCTGTCATGTTGGGTAGGCTGGAGTGGCCACAGGCACATTGGTGGAGTGGAGCTAGGGTCTTTTTAGAATAATAATGACTAATACAGTAAATTCTTCTTTTACATACTACTATTTACATTTTTCTTACACACTGTCAATTTTTTTTCATCCCTCTTTCCCCCACTCTCTCTTTCTCTCTTTTCTCGTCCCTCCCCCCCTCTATCTCCCCCCTCCCAGTGCTCTCCATAGGTGAAGGTGGTTTCTGGGAGGGCAGTGCCCGTGGTAACTTGGGGTGGTTCCCAGCAGAGTGTGTTGAGGAGAATATCCCTAACCAAGCCCAGGAGGAGAAACCATGTAAGTCCTCAGTGTGTGTGTGATCCCTAGCCAGCCCACTAAGAGAAACCTAAGTCCTCTCAACAAGAATGATCACCTCACAGTTCTATCTCACTTCTAAATCTCCGCTCGCAGCGGCATGAGGATTGATGTTTTATTGATTGGTAGAACAGTTGTTAGTGTAAAGTCGGATGCCAAACGGCCCCATTTTTCGCCTCACACAGCCCGTCCCTCTCCTCCTTTACAACTCAATAGAGCTCCATTATATGAATAAAGGAAGGAAATTGACCTTTATAACAAGAGTAATTTCATTACCCATTGTTTTATTCAAACACACACACACACACACACACACACACACACACACACACACACACACACACACACACACACATACTGTTTCTTCAAAACAAAAGCAATCAGATTCTTGTGAGATATTTTTTTCCTGTGCTCGGTCTCAGCCCTAGCTCTCTCATGCTTTGATAACCCTCTGAATATGTGAAGTGCCTTCTGGCCATGGCAGGCTGGTAATGCAATTAGCACTCAGCAACAAGGACACATTACACAGCCTACAAATGTATCCTTCACAACACAGTGTTTGCATGGATCATTTGCATTCAGTAGGCTAAGCCACAGGCTACATGCATATACAGTAGCAGGCGTGCGGACCTCATGTTCAATACATGCGTAGCCTGTGTATTTCATCCTTGGTTCCCTGACCTCTCCTAGAATGTCATTCTGGATTATGGGTAGAGAGAGCCACACTGAAACATGAGACTAGACTACAATGCACTTGTAGTACTGTAGTGAAGATTTAAAATGTCTGAGGTGTTGGCTGGTAGACTGCTTTCTTCCTTTGCATTTGTGCATGTACAGTATTTTTGTACAGTTTGTGTGAATTTGTGTGTGTGTGTGTTCTCTGTGCCAATACTATGTGTTTGTGGGTGTGCGTGTGTGTTTGTGCTTCTACGTGTGTGTACGCTTCTCTGTGTGTGTGTGTGTGTGTGCGCCCCTTGCTCCTGGGGGCAACATTCTGTTGAAAGTTATTTTGGTCCAAATAAATGCCTTCCACATCAGTGCAGCCAGTGTTCAGTAGCTTATGAGGCCATGCAGCTTTGCTTAGGCCAGAGGGGATAAGGGGTCTCTTGAGTTTAAAGCACACCACGATTGCATGATCCGGCTACACTGATGTACTGACATAATAATAATAATAATAATAATAATAATAATAATAATAATGCAATTGAAACACTTAAAGGGATAGTGCGAGATTTTGGCAAATCATTTTCAACCTACCCAGATTCAGATGAACTCATGGATACCATTTGTATGTCTCTGCATGCCGTTTGAAGGAAGTTTCTAACTAGCGTTAGCGCAATGACTGGAAGTCTACCGGAACGGCTAGCATGCGAAACTACCTCTTACTTCCCTCTGAATATGTGAAGTGCCTTCTGGCCATGGCAGGCTGGTAATGCAATTAGCACTCAGCAACAAGGACACAGTACACAGCCTACACTTGTATCCTTCACAACACAGTGTTTGCATGGATCATTTGCATTCAGTAGGCTAAGCCACAGGCTACATGCATATACAGTAGCAGGCGTGCGGACCTCATGTTCAATACATGCGTAGCCTGTGTATTTCACCCTTGGTTCCCTGACCTCTCCTAGAATGTCATTCTGGGTTATGGGTAGAGAGAGCCATTTACTTTTACTATGTTACGTCTACCCCTGAGTCCAGGTTGGTTTTGCAGGAGTTGTTGTTCCACAATTACCGCTTATCAACCAATCAGCATCCAGGATCCAAACAACCGTTTTATAACACACTATAAAAGCAACATTTGAATAAAACAATACTTCAACACTTTCACTTTCGCCATCACAATCTTATCAATCTTCTTGAACAGCAAAATAATATACAGGGTTCCCACCGGGGACCAGTATGAAAATATGTGCAGTCACTACTGTAGGTCATTTTGGATAAAAATGTCTGCTAAATGGAATATTAGGATGGTGGTGTACAGATTTTATTTTATGATGTTTTAAATTAGAAGTCAGGTAGGCTTGAGAAGCGTTGGCAAACCATCTGTGATGCAATTGGCCGGGAGGGTCTGGTCCGTGTGTGTGTGTGGCAGTACAATATTAGTCATTATGATGTCATTCCGCCTGCTACTCTGACAGAACACGGATATGCCATTGGATGTTCCAGACCCTCATGTGTTCCAGTGTGTGTTTGTTCTAGTGTGTGTGTGTTCTAGTGTGTGTGTGTGTGTTCCAGTGTGTGTGTGTTCCAGTGTGTGTGTGTTCCAGTGTGTGTGTGTGTTCCAGTGTGTGTGTGTGTGTTCCAGTGTGTGTGTTCCAGAGTGTGTGTGTTCCAGTGTGTGTGTTCCAGTTCCAGTGTGTGTGTGTGTTCCAGTGTGTGTGTGTTCCAGTTGTGTGTGTTCCAGGTGTGTGTGTGGTTCCAGGTGTGTTGTGTGTGTTCCAGTGTGTGTCGTGTGGTTCCAGTGGTGTGTGTGTTCCAGTGTTGTGTGTTGTTCCAGTGTGTGTGTGTGTGTTCCAGTGTTGTGTGTGTCGTTCTAGTGTGTGCGTGTTCCAGTGTTGTGTTCCAGTGTGTGTGCGTTCCAGTGTGTGTGTTGTGTTCAGTGTGTGTGTATTCCAGTGTTGTGTGTCGTTCCAGTGTGGGTGTGGTTTACGTGGTGGCGTGTTCCAAGTGTGTGTTGGTTCCAGTGTGTGTGTGTGATTCCAAGTGTTGTGTGTATTCCAGTGTGTGTGTGTTCCAGTGTGGTGTGTTTCCAGTGATGTGGTGTGTTCCAGTGATGTGTATGTTCCAAGTTGTGGTTTGTTTGTGTTCCAGTGTGTGTGTGTTCTAGTGTGTGCGTGTGTTCCAGTGTGTGTGTGTTCCAGTGTGTGTGTGTTCCAGTGTGTGTGTGTTCCAGTGTGTGTGTGTTCCAGTGTGTGTGTGTTCCAGTGTGTGTTCCAGACACTTGCCTGTGGCTTGTATAGTATCAGAACAATGTGCAGTGACTGGAGAGGTCTCTTGATAGGGGAATGCGAGCTTTGGTGTTTACCCCTTAAAATGTGTATTGGCCTAGATGTTTTTATTGTCTGATAATGTCTATGCTGAACAAAAATATAAACGCAACATGCAACAATTTTCAGGAAATCAGTCAATTGAAATAAATTCATTAGGCCATAATCTATGGATTTCACATGACTGGGCAGGGGCGCAGCCATGGGAGGGCATAGGCCCACCGATGTGGGAAACAGGCCCACCCACTGGGGAGCCAGGCCCAGCCAATCAGAATGAGTTTTTCCCCACAAAAGGGCTTTATTACAGACAGAAATACTCCTCAGTTTCATCAGCTATCCAGATGGCTGGTCTCAGACGATCCCGTAGGTGAAGAAGCCAGATGTGGAGGTCCTGTGCTGGCGTGGTTACACGTGGTCTGCAGTTGTGAGGCCCGTTGGACGTACTGCCAAATTCTCTAAAACGACATTGTGTGTGTATGGTAGAGAAATGAACATTCAATTCTCTGGCAACAGCTCTGGTGGACATTCCTGCATGCCAATTGCACGCTCCCTGAAAACTTGAGACATCTGTGGCATTGTGTTGTGTGACAAAACCACACATTTTAGTGTGGCCTTTTATTGTCCCCAGCACAAGGTGCACCTGTGTAATGATCATGCTGTTTAATCAGCTTCTTGATATGCCACACCTGTCAGGTGGATGGATTATCTTGGCAAAGGAGAAATGATCACTAACAGGGATGTAAACAAATGTGTGCACAACATTTGAGAGAAATAAGCTTTTTGTGCGTATGGAACATTTCTGGGATCTTCTATTCCAGCTCATGAAACATGGGACCAACACTTTACATGTTATGTTTAGATTTTTGTTCAGTATATTTGTGAATCCTGAAAGACCTACTTGCTGTACTCAGTGACTGGACAGAGTCACAATGACTCAATCAGTACATTTTGATCTGTGAGTTATATGAGGCAGTGCTACTGTACAAATGCAGTTTATGAAGGATATGATAATTCACTATTTGACAATGCAATGTCGATGTGGCTATAAATAGCATATACTTTTCATCCAGTCTTGTCCTCACAAATACGTCTGTTTTCATTCACCTGAAGGGAAGAAAACGCACATAGTATTTTAGACTTTGTTATTGCTCAAGATCAATAATTACGACGGAAAGACCATCTGAATATTATAATAGTGGCTATCTGTGCTTCTGCTTGGTAACTAACATAATGTAGTTGTACCAGCATAATGAACCCTTTACTGTAACACTCATGTACATTCCTGATTGATATATTTCCATGGAAACGTCCTCTGTACACTGTACAAGCCCGGTTGCTAAGGAGTGGGCCTGGGCAAGATTTTTTTCTCTCTCTTTTTGTAATTTTTTTTTCTCTCTCTCACTCTCTCTCTGCACTAAGAACAGAGCTTACGTGGGATTTTGTCATTACCAGATAGAGTTGCTCTCTTTATATCTATGGAGATGGTTATGGCCTCTATATATTCTCATGCTGGCATTGGTAAAACTTTCTGGGGATGTTGCCTAAAGGCTTTCTAACCTGCGGACTAGAGGTGGAGAGGTGAGGTATCCTGACTTTGGACGAGGACTTGAAGGTGGAGGTGTGAGCATTTCTGGGAAGCACTCCATTTGAGGAGAGGACAGAAGGGGGCAAATGGAAGAGACTGCCAAATCCAGGAAGAAGGTTCATTTTGGAGGTACAGCACTGTGTGAGTGTTGGGGGGTGAGGGATTAAAGCGAGGATCATATCTAGCTGGTAGTCCGGTTGTAAACAGGGTTAGAAATGTTTTCTGGTTTCCTAACGGAAAGTGTTTTACCTGGCAGGGAGAAAGGCATATGGAGGTGTATTTCTGTTAGTTATTTTCAGTGTTTTTAGTTGGAAGTGTGAGTTAATTACGTGGACAATGGATTGGGAAATTATATTCTCAAATTGAGTGTAGTGCAGCTTATATAAAGGAGGCGGAAGAATCCCTA